CAGCGCCCCCAGGTGCCCCGGCGTGCGCCCCGGCACCGATGCTCCCCTGCAGCTACTGCTGCTGCCGCTGAGGTCGCCCAAGCGGGTGGCAGGCTTCCCTCAGCTCCCGGGCCCACCGAGTGATCCTGGCGCCTCCTACCTCGCGGCTCCTGCCGCCACTTCGCCGCGCGCCCCAGCCAATCTCCGGCAGTCCGCCCCAAGGCGGGGGCTGGGTGGGGCCCCCTCGGCCCCTCCCGCCGGTTCCCGCTCGTCCCGCCCACCGCCGGGTCGTGCGCCCCTCTCAAGCTCACCGGCTTCCCCGCCACGGCCTCGGCCTCGCCTTGCTCCTCTCCGCGGCGTTCCCTCACCTCTCTGGGTATTTACCTTGCCCCTCACCTCTCTCCTTCCTCCTTATCTCCCCACCACAGCCTCTTCTGGTCCTTTTCTCACTCACTTCACTGGCTTATCTCTCCGCCTCGGCCTTTCCCCCTCTGGTCTGTTTTCTCTTCCCCGACACCTCGGTTTCCCCTTCTCCCTTTGGCTGCCCACACCATCCTGGTCCAGGCAAACATTTCTTGACTCTCAGTCCTCAAGCGTTTATTGAGCGCGGTGCCAGGCACCCTACCGGTTGAATTAAAGCTAGGTAAGACCCAGAATCCACCTCCAGGGAGGGTGGCCTAGTGCAGGCGAAGATAATCACAGCTAGTTAGTGAGCGCTTGTTAAGTGTCAGGGACAGTGCAGGGCACTTCACAACCTTGTTAACGATTATTTCTAATAACAGCTTGTACTTATAGGGTGCCTACTGTGTGCTGGGATCTGTTCCAAGACCACTGCATAAATGACTCATTTAATTCCAACGATAACCGAGGTAATGAGCTACCAGGTCTTATTATCCCTACTTTACAGATAAGGATAATGAGGCAAACAGAAGTTAAGCAAGGCGGAGGATTTGAACCCAGGTAGTCTGATTCCAAGGAGCTCTGGTGGTGCAGTGTCTAAGGTTGCCTGCTAACCAGAAGTTTGGCAGTTCCAACCCACCAGCCACTCAGTGGAAGGAAGATGGGGCAATCTACCTCCATAAAGATTTACTGCCTCCGAACCCAACGGGGGTCACTATGAGTTGGAATCAACTCAATGGCAGTGAATTTGGTTTTTTTGGTTTGAGTCTGGTTCCAGAATCAGAGCCCATATACAACCAGGAGGTGTGGCTTCTGAGAGTAAAAGCCTAATTGCTATGGGGGTATCAAAGAGGTGAAGTAACTGGCCCTTGATCACACAGCTTATAAGTGAAGGTGACAAGGTTGGAATCCAGATGTTGACCTCCAAAGTCTAGGGCTTAATCACTCTGCCTTAAGACAAATTCTGACCCCAGATAGGAAGCACTGTAGGAGGTGGAAGCAACTGATAGTGTCTATGTGGTTAGTGTTTCATGTGGCTCAGAAGAAGCCCTAGTGGCACAGTGATTAAAGCACTGGGCTGCAAACTGAATAGTCAGCCATTCGAACCCACCAGTTGCTCTGTGAGAGAAAGGTGAGATAGTCTGCTTCTGTAAATACACGGCCTTGGAAATCCTGGGGGGCAGTTCTACTCTGTCCTATAGGGTCACTATGAGTCCCAATGGGCTCCACAGCAGTGGGTGGGATGTAGGTCAGTGGTAGAGTTCTCAGCTTCCATGTGGAAAATCCAGCTTTTGTTCTTGGCCGGTGCACATCCTGCACAGCCCCATGCGTCTGCCAGTAAACGCCGTGCTGTGCTGAGCTGGTTTTAGCAGAGCTTCCAGCCTAAGACAGAGCGGGAAGGCCTGCTGAGCTGGAAGTCACCCAGTGACATCCCCATAGATTACAGCGGTGCAGTCTGCGCAGAGGTAGTGCGGGACCAGACAGCATATGCTTCTGGTGTTCATGAGTCACCATAAGGCAGGAGTCAACAACACTAACATGAGGAGGGTGACCAGGGAAGCCTCAGAGATGAGGTGACTTTCAGGAACCCCACGTCTGGTCTCTTTCCCTCCTTTCTGGGCCCCATCTTTCATTGGCTTTCTTGTGGTAGGGGCTTTGGATGAGAGGCTTGGGATGAGGGACTCCTTGAGAGCCTAGCCTAAGTTCTTTCTACTCAGCCTTTGGTGGGAGAGCATCCTGGGGAAGTGTCTCATGGGAGTCCCCCTTCCCCTGCCCCCTAGTCCTCCTGAATGTTTCCAAGGCTTCTGTCTTCCCATGGGCATGTCCTTGCAGTAGTAGTGGAGACAACCGAGGGCACATTCCTCTTAATATTCAACATGCATGTATGGAGCAGCTACTACGTGCAAGGCACAAGGTGAGGTGTGCAGGGGAACACAGAGGCGCAAAGACAAAGACTCCACTTCATGTGATCTGAGCACAAGGCATGGCAGATGAGGCAGAAGAAAATTCCACACATTACAGTCCTGAGGGTGGGACAGGGTGTTTTGTGAAGTACAGGATGACCTAGCTGGGTCATGGTCAAGCAAGGTGGGGGCCTTTCCTTTCCCCTTTTCCTTCTCCTGCTCTCGGTGTCAAGAGGTTCTGTTACTGCCGACTCAGAAATTTGGAGAAACAGTCCCTTCGGGGCCAGGCAGCTTAGGGTAGTGATGGTGCAAAAGACAGAAAGAGCCAAGTTCCATTGCTGGCCACTTACCAGCTGTGTGACCTTGGGCAAGTCCTAAACCATTCTGACTCTCAACTTCCTTGTTTTTATCAATTTTTTTTTTTTTTTT